GTATATAAGTCTACTGCTATTGCTATTGCTATTCAGGAGGTTCTTCCCAGAAATAAGATCCTCCCCCCCCCCCCCCCCCCCCCCCACCCCCAGACAACAACCCTTTCCAAGGGAAAGAATAATCAGCATGGACAATGGCTCAATCAATCTGAATAGAGCTGTCTGGGGATTCAGACCCTTCCCCCGTAGCTGTGGATTGACCATCCTCTCTTAGCTTCAGGTGAGGAAGGTTTTTCGAAAATGGCTTCTAAGTTTAAAGAAAGTTAGCAGTTTAACTAAGTCATTGTTGGGGAGGGCAAAATACCCTGGAAACGGGGGGGGGGGCTCTCACCCTTTGGACAATGGACACCATTCCTTCTTCGAGAGTTTTTGGGGAGCTGGGATTTGGCCAGCATCAGAGAACTTTCCTATTGGCTTTCTGAAGGCCATCTAGTTTTGGGAAGCGGTGGTTATTTTGGGGAGGAGGGGGGGACCTTACCAGGACTGAAGGCATCCTTGTGGGCTTCTTCTTGTAGGCAGAGGCCAAGCTCAGCCCTGCACCCAGAATTCCAAGGCTGAGAAGAGTCAGGAGGGCCAAACTCGGGGTAAGGACAGTCTTCTCTGCAAAGGAATGTCCACACGTGATTGATTTCTCAGGGCAGGCCACTCGTCCAAGATAGGCAGTGCTGGGCAAACTGTGCCCTCTTACTCTGGCCACTAAATGTACCAGCCGTTGTGTAGGAAACAAGCCAAGAGTTTGATCCAGAAAAAAATACGGACACCAAGAATGTTTGCCACATGTAGGGCAGTAAAAGACCTAGGAAGATCCTAACCCTGGGGAGCTAGATAAAGGCCACTCTCCCTGTTAGTCTTGGGCTGAGACCAGGAGAGCCTTCTCCCCACTTGACCCGTTTCTAGTCTAGAAGTACCCAATTTTATCTCAAAGCTGCTCAGGGGCCTCCAGACTTTTAAAGAAAGTAGGTATGTTAAGGCCAATGACTTAGATGGGCCAGCAGAGGGCTGCCTCTAAGATAAGCTTCACTGTTTGTGGCTGTGTGTGATGGGGGCGGGGGAGGGGGAGAGGGGAAGGGTTTTGCCACAGGCTCTGACTTTCTTGGGTGCAGGGAGTGAGCCAGAGGTACAGAGAGAAGGCTGGTGCTCACCTTCTAGGGGGGGTATGGAGACACACTGCTCCTCCGTCCAGTTAGCAGGGTTTGGCCTGGAGGTCACCCGAGGCTTCACGCTGATGCAGTACTCCTCCCCCCACAGCAGCAGGGGCAGGTCAAATTCCAGACTGCTGTGGGCCTGCAGGAGCTGTGGAGGGGAATGGGCAGACCCTCGTCAGGCCAAATAAGCCCCTTCCCCCCTACCAAGCTTATGCCGCCTGTTGTCCCAGCCCATGGCACCCTTGGGCTCTTAAGGGGCTTCTGCGGGTGCTTCGGCAGCTGCCATTCCAACTCCCCCCGTCAGCCCCACCGCTCGCTTGGGCACTGGAGATGGACTGAGGCTCACCTCCTGGTCGTCGGACACTCTTCGGACTCGGGCAAGATATTCCCCCCAGGCCTCATAGCTGCCTTCATAAGAGAGGTTGGCCCAGCAGCTGGTGGGAAGCTGCAGAGAGACATGGATCTGGTTCCTGCTCCTGGAGAGGGTCACCTTGGAGAGCCATAGAGTTGCTGGAGGGGAGGGGAGGGGAGAGGTAAAATGCAACAGGTTCTGGCAGGTTCTGCAGAACCGGTAGCAGAAATTTTGAGTAGTTCAGAGAACCGGCAAATGGCACCTCCGGCTGGCCCCAGAGTGGGGTGGGGGAAGGGGGATTTTGCAGTATCCTTCCCCTGCCACGCCCACCAAGCCACGCCCACAGAACCAGTAAAAAGGGAGTAAAAAAAATCGGATTTCTCCACCGGCGAGAGGAAGCTGGAAGTGCACCTGGAGGAAGCTGCCACCCCAAAGGGTCGCCCTGAGCCCCTCCCAGTTTCGCCTCCTGGGACCGGCATCCCCCCCACCCTCCCCACGAAAAGCCCGCGGCTCTCGGGCCCTGCCTGGTCCCGGAGGGAGAGGCTCTTCGGCCTCTTGCGCTACCTTGGCTGGGAGTAAATCGGCGCGTCCAGTTCCAGGCGGAGGAGCTGTTCCCGGCTACGGCGCGCACCCGGGCCAGGTAGTAAAACGCGGGCTGCTGAGTTTCGCAGGTGAGGTCACAGAAGGTGAGCGCGATCCGGGTACAGTTGGCGGCGGCCCTCCAGCTGTCGTTGCCGAGCCTGCGGGCGGCGGGAAGTGAAGCCGAAGGCTCTTCCGACACGGAAGACACGCGCCGAGCCGAGCCGCCTCTCTTCCCCCGCCTGCCTCGCCCTGCCCTTACCTCCGATACTGCACCTCGTACAGGACCCCGGCGGCCGCTTGAGGGCCCGGTTCCCAGCGAAGCAGGTGATGGAAGAGCCGGGCCTGGAAGTGGGCGTCCGTGGGCGCGGCGAGAATCCGCTCTCCCCCTGAGGACACAGGCAGCAGCGCCCGGGCGGTTAGCAGGCCATTGGCGTCCCTCCCCCTCCCGCTCCGGCCGGCCGGCCGCTTGGCTCTTCACTCACCGTGGCCCGCAAGACAGGAGGCGAACGGCAGCAGCAGCAGCAGCAGCAGCAGCGCCGACACCCCCATGCCGGCCATCCGAGGGGTTTGCCAGAGGGCGACTGAAAGAAGAGCCTCGGCTGCCGTGCGCTGGAGCAGCTGGCTCCGCTCTCACTTCCTCTGGGCATTCCCCGCTGCCCCCTTCGGGGGAAAGCCCCGCCCGCGCCTCCTCTCTGCCGCGGGACTCGCCGGTTTTGCCAGAGAAGGAGCGCGACGATGGACAATTGGGAAGGAGCATCAAGAGATGCCAAGAGCTCTTGGCTGCCGGCTTGCCCCCCCCGCCGCGACCCCCCACCCCGCCTGGCTGCTCATCTTCTGCTTCTGAACTGAGAGCCTCCTTCAACTCTGGGCGGCCCCTGTCTTCACCGGAGGGAGGTGGAGAGACAGTTTGGTCTAGTAGTGGCTAAGGCACTAGGAGAGTACCGGGTGCCCGTGAATTTCAGTCTTGCTTGAGCATGAAAGTCAGCTGGGTGACCTCCGACCAGTCCCTCTCCCTCAGCCCACCCACCTCAGATGGTTGCTGTTGGGGGGAAAAGAGGAGGAAGAAGGAGCATTAGAGATGTTTGGTTTCCCAGCTCCCATCCTGACTTCCCATGGCTCTTGGCCTTGGGTTGTCCCCCCCCCCCCTGTGGGGAGTGCTGCCTCCCAAAGCCTTTGGGGGGAACTGTTGGGTTCTCCACTCGGAGGCCGTTTCTGATTTCCACCACTTGGGCAATTTGCCACCCCGCTACCCTCATTTGGGGCTGTTTCTGCGGTCAAAAGACGCGAGACTGAATGAAAGTGCGTCCAGGGAAACCGCCTTTCCCATCCTCTGGAACCGATTAGCTGGAAGCAGGATTTAAGAGTTGCTCCACTTAACATTCTGTCCTCTCATTTTGTAAAACTAAACCTTTGAGGAGGGGGAAATAAAGAGAGCGACATCTGGAAGGGCTTTAGAATAGATGCAGCTCCTTTCATTTTCATCTCCCCGGGGGTCAGACACCTCTGACTGGCTGGTTTTCCCCAGCCGGACTTTCCGGTGCACAGAGAAGGGCTTGAAAGCGGCCTCTCCTTTGGATAACCCCCCCCCCCCCGGGCAAGGCCCACCTTGAAGCTAAAGCCAAAGCCAAGCTCCTTTCACCAAGGGGGAGCAAGGCTGCTGTGAACCTGGTATTGGCCTCCTAGCCCCCCCCCCCCCAAAAGCACCCCAGGGAAGCACCATGGAAAGGCCCTCCCTCAGAGCCTGTGGTCCCTCCTGGGCTCATCACGATGGCCAAGTAGTGCTCGGTGGCCATCTAAGGTGTGGCTATGTGAGTCCATAAGTGCGCTTCAGTGGAGCAGGCTCGGGCGTCTTCCGCGTCCCCCTTGCAGGGAAAGTCTGCCTCCCTGGTGGGAGGCGGCTCCACCTGGCCACCTTCCATTGGACAAGTGCCATACTTCTCCTGGCCCAGAAGCCGCCACATGTGCAGGGCGGTTGAGGAGGAGGAGGGAGGCCTCTGCAGCCACAGGGGGAGACTCTATGCCCAGCCTCTTTCCAGCTGGAGCTTTCCTGATAGGCCTCCCAACCGGCTGCCCTGTCTCAGGCTCATCTCTGGTCAGCACAACATGTTTGTGTGGTGTTCTTGACAATTGTGCAGACGGGGTTTGCCACTGTCTCCCTTTGGGGCAAAGTTTCCTCCCTTCCCCGCCTGACTTTTGGTCCAGGGATTTCTGATGGTCTCCCATCTGAGTCCTGACCTGGACTGTCCTTGTTTAGTTTCTTCCAATTAATCCAATGAAACAAATGGGGCTCATTAAAGTCAGTCCGCCCCTCTAGTGCATTGGCTTATTTCCCCCCCCCTCCCCCGTCGCCGCTCCTGTCGGTGACCCTTAGGAAGTCCTTAGTTAATTCTGCTGGATGCAAAAATAAAAACTTTCTTAATCTTCCCTGAATTTCTCACCGTTCAACCTCACTAAATTACGATATTAAAAGAAAGAGATTAAAATCTGCCACAATTTTCATGGGAGTGAGAATGATTTTATAAATGTATCTCATGTTTCCCTTTTAAGAAAGAAACAGAAACAGAAAACCCCCAAATGTTGTAATCGTTCTGCTCTGAGAAATTTGTTCAACCTACTTCCCAATTTTGTTCATGTTCCAGTCAAGTGGTTCCCCCCTGAGAAATAGTCACCACATCTGGAGCTGTTTTCGCCCCCTCGGCAGGCAGTTTCATTCTCAGTTCCTTAAAGGCCTCAGGTTCACACCTGCTTTTTCAGAGTTGGTGAAAGAGGGGGGGGGTGGGAGAGGGAGATGCCTCCGTTCTCCAGGCTGTTCAATGCAGACCTTCTGTGCATGATGTGAGGCTTTGGAATGAGAAGCGCCAGTTTACCCTGACTGGAGCCAGGAGGAGGAGAACCAGGTTAATTTTGGTTTGTTTATTGCTTCCAGGCTCCTCCTGATTTTAGACAGTAAAACTGTGGTTCCAACTTTCAAAGGCAACCCAAAGGTTTGGATCTGGATATCTTCACAGCTCCCCCCCCCCTCAGAGCTTCCCAGCCAACAGCAGGGGTGACTCTTCCTGCTGACTGCACCTAGTCCTCAATAAGGCTTCAGTTCCTTGGCCATTTGCTGAAGCGGGAGGAGAAAGAAAGAATGCGTGTTCATCAGCAGACTTGCCCAGGAATCCACCTGACCCTAGCCAGTCTGACGATCCTTTTTGGCTTCCAGGCAAATGGAGGCCCTTCCATTTGGCCTGGTTTCTTCCATTGTGGTGGGATGTTTTGTCTTGGTGCTGCCCTTGGAGACTGTCCTGTTTGCAGCAGCTTTTACTTGTTTGCAATGTGCCTATTCCACAAAATAAGAGGGTTAAGAATGGTGAAATCCAAATGAAATACAATAGAAGGGGAAATAATAT